TGATAATGATATGGGCACCAATATATTGTTCATCCCTAACAAAAAAGCAATCTTGATAATTATTTTCTGTATTGATCGATAATGATAAAAATTTCGATATAAGTCGTTAATGCTTCCAGATTTAAGAGTACCCCAACAATGACTGAAGCCGGAAAAATTAGAGCGTCCATTTATTGGTATAACATATTTTCGACATATTTTCGATCTCTGTCAACACACATTTAGATTCTCATTGTTGCACATTTCTTCTGTGTGACTGACTCTTGGATCAATATAGAGTATTAAAAAAGTCCACAGCTTATCATTGCCATTGACTTAAATTTCATCAGAATTCGATATGATATTATCGTCCCAGCTCTAATTTCCTAACATAATTCACAAACACACACCAACAGTGGCATTTCAAACAAGATAAAACTATAATGCATCTATAAAACTGTAAGAGACAGTAAAGTCTAATTCATTGTTTATCTAGGTCTCCAGGCTCACCTCACACCCGTCATCTTCTGAGTCCACATGTAGTTTACCGTTTATGCCACGTCAAAGTCCCATTTCCATAAACTTAAGTTCTGCAGGCTGTGCCAATCCAATAACAGGCAAGTTCATCAGCCTTGATTTATTCATTTTTTAAGTCTTCATTCAGCAGTATGACAGCACCAATAGTTGGCAGTCAATTGCGATCCGTCCACACAAACCTGCATTTTGTCCATTTCTAGGGTTCGGGAAAAGATGAAATTGTATATTGCCCATCCTTTCTGGATTCCTGCTGTCTGTGTTCAAATCCCATAAGAGCACACTTTCATAATGTTTCATCTTGCTTACTATGACAGCGGTTGGGAAGCTCAGAAAATTGCCATTACAATTGGCTAGATTGCCTGTCAATCAAACTGCCACACATTGCACGAGAGTTTGTTTTAATTGAACCAAGCATACTAAGTGTAAACACACTCTCATAATCAAACATGTTCTTCACAAAAATGGGGTCGCGCAACTTACTATGGCTTATAAAATGGACCACTTTATGATACTTTGTTTGAAGATGCCTTTCTTCCAGGTGTGACAACAGAATATAATATAGTAAGAAATGGCTATAGGCTATTCTTCAGAAATTCACTTTATGTTCCATGGAAGAAAATAAGTAATGCAGACTTCAGAGAGTACATAAATATTAATAGTATTTATTCATTAATTCATTTTTCTTCGGCTTAGTCCCTTTTCATTAGGGGTCACCACAGCAAATTGAACCACCAACTTATCCAACATATGTTTTACACAGCAGATGCTCTTCCAGTCGCAACTTAGCACTAGTAAACATCCATACACACTCATTCACACGCAGGCCAATTTAGTTTCTCCAATTCACTCATAGCGCATGTCTTGGACTGTGGGGGAAACCGGAACACTCAGAGAAAACCCACGTGAACACAGGGAGAACATGCAAACTCCACACAGAAATGCTAACTGGCCCAACCGGAACTCAAACAAGCCACCTTCTTGCTGTGTGGTGACAGAGCTAACCACTGAGCCACTGTGTCGCCATTATCATTGCTTTCTATTTTTTTGTTACTTGTCACTTTACTATCAATTCCTAAAAATTGCAGTGGTATTCTCTACAGACACATCTTTGTCTCTGGTGATATGACAAATAGAGCAGTCATCAGTCTTCCACAAATGGCGCAATCAGTCAGTTAACGATTATTATTTCAGTTTCTATCCATGGCCCCAAAGCTGTCAGTCTGTCAGCCGTGCTGTATGGAACTATGTCAACATGACTCTGACCTGACTCATTCCCACCCATAATAGGATATGGACTCCTACTGAGGCATCAGTGCCTTTTGCAGAACAAAGTCTCTGTCTTTATCCTACAAAGCACACACACACATATGCGTTGACAAACACAATCAGGAATTCCATAGGAGAGAGAGAGAGCAAGAGAGAGAGAAAGTAAGGTGGCGTAATTCCTGATGGCTATCAGAATTCCCAGACAGTTTCCAAATGTCCAGAAACTACACAGGATGATGAGGCAATTGTCTTTCCAGGAATTACCTTCATCTGGCGATTGTTAACATGCAAATATAGTTACAGCTTTATGAAAAATGTTCGTTTTTTTTTTCTCTACTCTATTCCACATATTCATGTTCTTAAGTAGAAGCTCAGTGTGTGTGTGAGTGTGTGTGTCCAATTATTGAGGGCAGTTTGGAGAGGTCTGCACAAACATACCACACATACAAGTGATTTCTTTTTTTCTGTTCGTTTGCTTTCCGTCTGCTTTCTACCCCAAAGTCAAGACAGAAAATGGTGCCAAAGGTCAAGCATATTAAACGCCCACCCACTTTGATATATTCATCCCATTCTCTCGCTCTCTTCCTGTAGTTCTAGCTCTGGAGAATGCAGTGTAAATGATGTCTTTTTTATCATTTCGGGCTTCTGGTATTGTGTTTGTAGGTCATGCCAACCAGATGGATCTAGAGAGAAAAGGCTCTTTATTCAGGCCTTATAAGGACATGATGCAGGCAAATCCTACATTTACCATTTGCACTTGGCATCTCTCGTTCTCTCCCGTTTTATCCACTCGCTCTCCACAGCCAAGCACTTTGCATGGATTATATAAACCTGACACTTGGGCAAAAACTATTGCTGGATTAATTTGGAACGTTCTTTGAGATGTACTTTTGGGGTTTATGTTTGATTGATATCCTTTTACTTTCATTACTCATTTTCCTTTGAACATATAGACGTGCACTTATTTAATAATTTGAACATTATTATTTAAAAATAATATTACCTATTAAAGTTCTTTAGTATTTTTGTGATGCCTTTTTTGAGATGCTAATTTCTAAAGGTCAGTGGTTTTAGGGTTTTACACCAGATGTTTTACACCAGATGAGTTTCGACAGTCTTGTGACTAAATGCTAAGTCCACGTTTTGGATCACAATGTCACAATGGGTCCACAATCTTCCAGGATCTGCAATGTTGAGTTTATATGTTGGGATTATAGTATATAATATCTTCTAGACTAGTGGTACCCAAAGTGGGGTTTGGGACCCCCCAGGGGTGTCGCAGGAGATTAAGAGAGAGGGCGTTGGTGAATTCCAAAAATCAAATATATTTTATTAAACTTTTAGAATTACAATATTTTATCCACAATACAGTATATGAAAAGTAGTAGTTAATACTTGGATAAAAAAAACAGTCTTTTAATGTATTTATTTATTTATTTTTATTGTATTGTAACCCCTTTGGTAATTTACATTATATTAAAGACACAGCAATAGCATCAGATGCAGCAGATTGATTTTATGGCACAAAGTTAAACTTTGACACATTTTACAGCACTCTCATACATAAAAATAATTAAACGAAGAATAGACTTGGGTCTATTGGTGTGTTCACTGTTGCATACAAGTTTTGTATGTTTATAACCCCATCTGATGATGTTGCAGACCTTATTTTGGGGGTTGCTGGTTGAAAAGCTTGGGAACCACTGTTTAAGACTACGGAGTCTTCTAAATTGGGATTATAGTATATAAAATCTTCTATATTTAATATTGTTTTAGACTAGACCACAGTTTTGAACACACAATATTTGTGGAGTTACTTTAGAGTTTAATCATAATGGAATGAAAGTTAATCATTTGCCTGGGTTTTTAGGCCTATAACTATTTTAAGCATTCTGGCACAAGAAATTGTACTGTTTGTAGCTTCAATAAGGATGGATTTTATTAAACTGTTTATACATTGAAAAATGTAGTGTTATTTTATATTTACTTATTTAATATCTGTTTATGAATACTGCTAGACTCCCCAGAAAGCACTGTTTATTTCGCTTTTAGCTTTGCTTTTTTGTATTTATCCACGCTTCCAACTTGTTTATTATATTGTATGCATGATTTACTGACCTAGAAAATCATCCCAATTAATCTAAGTTAACAAATTCTTTCCAAATTGAGCTATTCAAGCAGTCTGATGAAATTGTATTCATATTGCAATATACACTAGCTGACAAAATCTTGTCGCCGATCCCAGTTGTAAAAGCAACAAAATATTACTTATAGTTGATCATTTCATGATTTTAAAATCATGGTTTGGGGTTACATTCAGTATGGGGGCGTGCGAGAGATCTGCAGAGTGGATGGCAACATCAACAGCCTGAGGTATCAAGACATTTGTACTGCCCATTACATTACAAACCACAGGAGAGGACAAATTCTTCAGCAGGATAGCACTCCTCATACTTCAACCCCCACATCAAAGTTCCTCAAAGCAAAGAAGGTCAACGTGCACCAAGATTGGCCAGCCCAGTCACCAGACATGAACATTATTGAGCATGTCTGGGGTAAGATGAAGGAGGAGGCATTGAAAATAAATCCAAAGACTCTTGATGAACTCTGGGTGTTCTGCAAGAACACTTTCTTTGCCATTCCAGATGTATTTATTAATAAGTTCATTGCAGAGATGTATGGATGCAATCCTCCAAGCTTATGGGAGTCAAACACAATATTAATTTGTGTTCATTCTTTTACCACTGCACCATGACTTTATATTCTATACTGTACATTATTTCTTTTAAGTGTTGAGACTTTTGTCTAAGCAAAGTCAGACCTTACTGTCCTAATTAAATAATTAAAAATCAAGGCATGATCATATTTTATTTTGGTAAAATAAGTGTAATCTAGAGGCCTTTTCGTTTTTTAAATAAGCCAATTTGATGCTAAATGATCAACTAGAAGTCAAGTTACTATTTGCTATTACTAGAACTTTTGACTTTTGTCAGGTAGTGTATATCGCAGAAAAACATAATTTTGCAATGTCATGTTTTCACGCCCCTGTTCAAAAACCACCTAATACTTACAGTACTTTATTTAATGAGGTCGTTTTTCTTTATTACCATATCAGGAAGTTGTATCCATCTAATGTTTTTTCCTTATTTCCCCATTCAACGTGAGTGTCATGCCATGACTCAAACACATTTGTTTTGTTTTTGTTTTGTTCTTCACCTTCATTAGTCTTCTGTAATCACTCAACCAGTTGTGAAAGCGGCCTGTCATTTAAAATCACACTCAGGTTAATTCCTTGGGTGGTGGGTGTGAGTGTTTTGCATGCTGCACAGGCTCTGTGTGTGTGCGTGTGCATGCACAAGCAATACTGCATTAGAGAACACGTTCTTCAGGTCAGACTCAGGCGTTTTATTTAACATTCCTGCCTGTCAGAAAATACGAACATGAATACAAAGCGCTCAGCTGCCAGCATAATGTGTTAGTAGACAATAAAAACGGATTCCAAAGATGTTACAAGGTTTTTCTTTTCTTCTCTTTAATCACCCATCTACTCAGTTTTCCCTCCCCCCTTAACTCTTTCTGTCTTTCTCCTTCGCTCTCTCTCACGCACACACACTCTGTTTGTTCGTGCCATCTTTTGAACTTCGTACCTCTTTGGGCGTCCCGAATTCCACGTGTTTAATTCGGGCATTCCTTCCCCTTCGCTCGCAGACAAAACAACAACAACAAAGAGAGAAAATTCTCTGGACCGTGAGCTGCCCGCTTCTAATCACTCACAGGAAATGGGCTCCTGTACAGCATGAGAGAAAGAGGGCAAAACAAGCTTTGGATATGTATCGTGCCGTGCTTTTGAGTGCATACTAGAGTTGATGACTGTTTGTGGTCCGGTAGGTTTCCTTCTAAAATGTTTTTAACTTTGCTTTAGTGCTTGTGTAGTTTACAGAATGTTATTCTAGTTGTTGATCCTGATAGGTTGGTTTTTGTCCCAATCAGCTAACTTGTTGTTAGCTTTCTAAGCTTGTTTCTTTTTCCTATCTGCGCATCCATTAGCTGCTTTTGGACTTGAGCTTGTATCCAGAGTCTTTTTGGTCAACAGAGATTTTTAATTTCTTGTGAAGTTATACATATTCACTGGAACACTCTATTTTGATTGGTTTGTTGTAGTTTTCTGTTGATATCGCTGTTGATTAGATGATTGATGAAACCACTCAGGCAGATGTCAGAAGTTATTAGAAAAGAAATGTTTAGTAGTGAAGTCTGCATGAACTGTGTACTTTTATATGCCGATGGTGTGGTTTTCTTTAGGTTTACCTCATCTCTTTTGTGTATTACTGAAACCAAATGAAAATATGAGACAGCAAGAGGAAGCAAAACCTACAACAAAGCATCACAAGTCTGTGTGTGCATGTTTGTGTGCCTATGGCAGATCTGTTTACCTTGGCTAGCATCTTACAAACTGTTTACTTATGCAAGTATGAGGGGGAGCAAAAACTCGTGTGATTATCTAAATGAGTACATACATAAACTATCTGTTTTTGTGGAAATGTAAATAAATGCATAAATACTTTGTAGAACATACATATTTAGGTTCTGTATTTTTTATTTATACGTTTGGTCTGCAACGACATTTATAATGGTTTTACTATTAGGCCTGTTGCAATAATATCCTAATTTTTGTAATTTTTTGTTCAGCAAGTAAATTAAATATGTTTATTTGCATTGTAAATGCTATTAATATTAAATCAATGCTGCCAAATAGAAAATACGTTAGGCTTAAACATTAGGTGACACAAGAAAAATAAATTAAACAATTGCAATTGTAATTGTCTAATCAACACATAATATATGGCCGTGAGACAGACCTAATTTTTACATTTCATGTAAAAACTGATAATCTGAACACTATATTAATTGAAAACTGAAGAAAGAAATTGTTTCAACAAAAAATACTAAGCAGAATCTTTTTTTACTACGACTAATAATAACAATAACAACATTGATGATGATGATGATGATGATAATAATAATAGTCATTTTTCTTAATAATAATAATAATAATAATAATAATTCCTTAAAGTCATATATCGCTTTTCTAGACATTCAAAGCACTTTACAAATTTACAAGTGTGCAGAATCCACCTGGATGACATAATGGCAGCCGTATTGCTCCAGACTGCACACCACACACCAGCTGATTGGTGGAGAGGAGACTGAGTGATGATTCCAATTATTATAGAGGGATAGTTTGGAGTGGCAAATTTGGCCAGGATGCCAGGGTTAACCCTTACTGTTTTTTCAAAGTACATCCTGAAATTTTTAATGACCACAAAGAGTAAGGACCTCACTAAAGGCTCACTAAAGCCTGGTTTATACTCGACACGTCTGCTAGTTCGCTTGAGTGCACACGGCGAATGTGATTTCATCGCTGTGTTTGCAGAGTTCACTTTGGGTGCGCACGACACGATTTTGGCTGGCGGAGCGTATTTAAAAAAAAAAAAGAATTTTTTTTTTTTTTTGAGACTCAAACACAGTTTGAACGGCAACATGTTTTATTATTTAACAACAATTTAATATTTACTAAACTAAAATGAAGTAACAATTTTTTTTTTTGAAATCTGGAAAGGAACATTTGAATCTATTGGTTTATAATATACTGATGGTCTGTTTTTCTAGGTTTTATTGGTGATAATGGTCAGGAATGTTCGACCATTATTGCCTTTTTAGCATATCAGTCGAGGACAAACTCGACTAAATACTTAATACTTTAATAAACTTTAAAATGTAAAACTGTCCAAGATATGAACAAAAGCAAGTGATGCATCAAAGTTTGAATTGAAGAAATCTTGAATACTTAAAAATCTTTATAATCATTAAAATAATTTATAAAAATAAATAGTTTAGAAATCTTCAATAATATTAATGATATGACGTTGTTCCGGAAACCTACTACTTCTCTTTTTATAGGTCTGATTTTACGGTCAGTTTCTTTTGGCTGATCCCTGTCATTTTAAAGTATATCACAACTGTGAATGCGTCAAGTATAAAAGCCTTGTCCATTTCATGAGGTGCGTGTGCACTCATCGGAGGTCCGCAGCGCACCGCCAGGCGAAAGTATAAATCAGCCTTAAGCAGTATAGAATCCCTATCAATATATTGGGAAATTAGGACCCGCGCAGACTGCAGGTTGAGTGCCCCCCTAGCTGCCAGTATTTTTTTCTTGATTTTTTTTTCTTGAGACATTTTTCTTGAGGAAAAAATCACATATGATCATATTCAAATGATTTCTGACCGAACACATGACACTGAATATAATGATGCTAAACATGTAGCTTTACCATCTTAGTAATAAATAACAAAATGTAATATATTAAATCAGAAAACATTTTAACAGTATAAGTACTGTTTTTATTGTTAGCTTCAAAAATATTGGTAAGAATAATATATCAATTAGAAAAAACTTTAACCTCCATTTATCAGAATTCAAGTCTACATTTCAGAAAATGAGACTGTAAGGGTTTGTCACATTTTTCAGATGTCTGGAGACCAAGTTGCTCTAAAGTAATGCTAAGTAAACTTACACCCATGGACATATTTCTTTTTGTTTTGACAGTATTAATTGCTTGAATTTACAAATCAAATCCTGTTTTAATTGTGTTGGCTTAATTAAAGTCATGAGTCAGACGATGCTTATGCCACAGCAGGTTGATGATGTCTGATGACAGAAAGCCACTTGACTGATTTGAGAAAAAAAAAAAAAAGAGTAGTTATAGTGAAATGTGTAACAATAAAAAAAAGACAGACACACCAGAGCTTGAACTCCAATACTTCATCATAGATGTAGAGGGAAGGAAAAGTGGCGCCGGTTTTTTAAAGGAAGTCGCTCACAAAGACTTCAGATGGACTCTGGAACTGCAGACGCACTAACAAACCATTTCCTCCTCTCAAACCCCTACACATTGTGAACATGTGAAATGATTTTACACTTGGGTTATCTGGATATCAAAATTCAAGAGAGACTAAAACATTCAGATGATTACCAGGAATGCATCCTTCCAGAGTGTCAGTGAAAATGAGTCAGTTATTAGTGCAATAAGACTGTAAACACGGACATAACCATCAAGATAATAATCCTCAGTATCATCACCAACAATTTGTGGAAACTTTTTTTTCTTTCTGTGGACGGTAAACATTGAACTTTGACTCAGGAATGCTGAAGTGTCTCAGGGTTGTTTTGTTTTGCATTATTGGCATAACATGATCTTGTACCTTGTTTGAAAACATGCTCATGCCATGTGCTTTTATACATGGCAACATACTTATTATGACTTACTTTAGCCTTTTAGGATAATCCCTTTTAGTGGATCTCATAAAAAAACAAAACAAAAAAGAAACTTCAGACCCCCGATGAGATCTAGATTTGTTTTGAAGCTAGTTCTAGGTTTATTTAGGTTTGTATGCAGTTTTATATCCGGCTGTGCTGTAATCCCCAAGCAGCAAAAGCAGGTCACCTAAACAGAGCAGATGCTTGATTTCTGTGTCACCCACCCAGAGTGAGACCGGGAGCAAGGCTAGGCAGTATATCGAGTTTATACTCCATATTGACGTGTTGCTTTTAGAAATTATACAGAATGATGCCATTCTGTTTATATACATATACGTACTTTGATTTACAATATAGAATGATTAGTATTTAGAAGGACACACAGTGACATGCTGCAGGGAAAATGCTTAATCCAGTACTATGCTTTAAGCAATATATTCTTCATATGTAAAATTTGATTTGCAACTCAGCCCAAGAAACACAGGCATGTATGGACTGAATAGTCTACAAAAGCACAATGGTTATGAACTATCATTTAAAAGTTTAGGGATTTTTTTTATGGTTTTGTTAGAAGTCACTTCTAAAAAGAGGTCACCAAGGTTATGATTAAGTTGAAATGTTTGCATCCTCATTGAATAGATTGATTAATGCCTGGTAAAAAAAAAAAGTATAATGATGGTTTGTTCTGTAGACAATCGAGAAAAAAGTGGCTAATAAGTTTGACCCTAAAATGGCTATTTAAACTGCTTTTATTCCAAAATAAAACAAATAAGACTTTCTCCTGAAGAACAAATTTTATCAGTGAAAATTTCCTTGCTCTGTTAAACATCATTTGGGAAATATTTAAAGAAGAGAAAACATTTTAAAGAGGAGCTAATAATTCTGACTTCAACTGTATAAAGAGCTGGGCAGTTTGGCCTTAAATCTAAATCTAAATCCATTATTTTTAATGAATGATTACTTTATTTATTTTTTAGGTCCTCATAGTTAACTGACAAGTTCAGTACATATGCTCACATATTACAAGTAAGAGACTTCTGATTGAAGGGTGCATTACTTGACTTTGAAATAATTGGAGAAAATACACAGTATCTACTATCTATGATAATTTATTGAACATCAATGTTGAACGACTGAAATTAATATTACATGAATGCGCTCTCAACTTGTAATACTGCGCTCACGACATTTACCATTAAAAAAAGCACCATAGAGCTCAGATTCGGCTGCAAAGTGCTGAACATTTTTTTAGTTCAGCGGGGTCCCAGAAGAAGTGATTCTGTATCGAGAATTATTTTTAAAAGTCGTCCTGGAAAAATTTGATTATTAAATGTTCATTTTGATTACTTTTCGATTAATCTCCCAGCCCTAATATTGAATGTCTTTATTTTTTTTTATTTTTTTGACATTGTAATTTTTTGTTGTTTTTAGCTGATGAATTCCTAATTTTAATTTGATCAAATAGTACATTTTTGTATCTAGTTTTGTGACTTTAATGATAAGGTCAGCTTTGAGAGTTCATGTCCTCTCAAGTCCTGCTTTATCATAGACACACCTTTAACCCTT